CCCAGCTCCAAGTTGAGCTGTTGTTCAGCATCTTAGCTGTAGAGGGCAGTGTCACTGGCCCTCATATGTGGGATCCGAACCGGGGTCTCTGGCGTCCCAAGCCAGTTCTTAACTATCAACCATCAACCATCGCGCCACTCGGCCGGCCGGCCCTGATCATTTCACTTTTAATTGGATAGTATCTGCGCAATGCAGAAAACACAGAAAAGCATAAAAGAATCATCCAGAATCCTTACTACATCAGTTCCTATTTGTATGACTGCAGTATTTTTTTTATGAAAACGAACATGTTCCTTTTACTAGCCTCTCTAAAAATTGGCTTGTTACATTGTTTTGTTAACCAGCCTTTTCCCCAGCACTTGTTGGTGCCTGTTAGGCAGGCAACATGTTAATGTTAGGTGTGTAAACTCTAATGAATGGGACTTTTCCCTCCTTGCTCTGCAGGAAGTTCACAGTATAATTACTATTCTAGGTTGCGTCCTGCCTGGCTGAATTACATTTCTTTTGGTGTTTTATGTTCCTGTGGAATAAAGACCACTGAAGGTGCTAACCAACTATACAGTCCTCATTTTAGCACACAAACTTTAGAAGGATGCCTGCTTTTTAACTACTATGGATTCTTGAGAGGCTAATCTTGCACACACACACACACACACTCACACACACTCTCTTTCTCACACAGTTTGCCTATTTTCTCTCTCACACACACAATTTGCCTATTTGTAGAAGGGATTTGAAACAGCTTAAAATTAAGCTCTAACAAAATTGAAGACCATTATGTCCAGAGCCCAGTAAAAAAGGGATGGTAGCCTTTAGGGACATGTTAAAGCTCACTGTGATAGCCTTACAAACATGAGTCATATCAAGCAGTTAAGATAATATCAAACCCAGTTAAGAGAATATTTATTCCAATATAGTTTAAACTAGTGGTTCTCAAAGTGTGGTCTGAGAACCCTTGGGGGAATTCCCAAGAGCTTTTAGAAGAGATGTGAGGTCAAAACTATTTTCATAGTAATACAAACTTTTTTTTTGCACTCATGAACATATTGAACACATTGGCAGAAACGGGTCACTAAGTTTTTTGGGGAAGTACTTTTAACATGTTATTTAATATGCTGTAGGTGTTTTTGTTTTTTTAAGCTGAGCCATCCTGCCACCTGTTGGCAGCTCAGCTCGGGCCGGGACTCGAGCCGCTGTTGCTCAGAGCTCGCACTCTTGAGCGAGCTCTTAACCAACTGAGCCACTCTGCCAGCCCTGCTGTAGGTCTGTTTTTAAATAAATTAAAAAAAAAATTTAATGTAGAAGGTACACTAAAACTCATAGAAATCAAAATTCTTGGGGACCTGAAAACCACAGGATAAGTTGAAAGTCTGTATCAAAATCCAAACCCTAGCCAGTCAAGAATGATTTGTCTTCTCATGTTGGCCTTACAGAGCAAGTCCTTACTGTGTTTTCTTTACATCTATCTAGGTCGGTATCTCTTCTTGAATGCAATTGCAAATCAGCTGCGGTACCCAAATAGTCACACTCACTACTTCAGCTGCACCATGCTCTACCTTTTTGCAGAGGCCAACACTGAAGCTATCCAAGAACAGATCACAAGGTAAGAGGTTTGTTTTTCAGGTGCTGTTTCCCCTTTGTTAACGAATTCTGAGTAGTTTTTCTATGCATTCAATGTTATTGAGCATCTTGTACATGTGTTAAATGTAAGATATAGTTGTCAACAAAATGGATGTGGTTCCTGACCTAATAGTTTGATGGTCACAAAAAATCACAAGTAGAAAATTAAGAAATCATAATCATAAATAGTTGTCAACAAAAGGCACCAACATTTTAAGGTTAGGAGTTTCTTTCAGATGGTGGCACATCTTTAACCAGTCCTGAATCACATAGGCCTAGTAAAATCCATGTTAAAGAGCTTGTCCTTTTCTTCATTAACTCTAGGTTGAAAGGTTTTGAGGAGAAACAACAGGAATTATACTTGTGATTTCCTAACATTAGCTAGGAATCTGTTGCAGATTGCTTGGACTATGTACAACACTGGAGATTGGGAACTAGGTAGTCTAGTGAGAGGTATATATACATACTTTTAAAAACTGGACCAGACGACTTATACTTGATCCTTCACCTCATAGTAGTTTGTGGGTATTAGATAATGGTATTCCTTCAGATATGAATATTTAAGCCAGTACTAACTGCTGTTCAGAAAAATTACACCAATTTATACATGTACTAGAATTTGTTGCACCATGTGATCTGATAATGTCCTTGATTTGTTATACCTTAACTTAGTCTTCTAGGCTCAATAATAGGAAGAGGGGTTCAAACCCAGGTTTTCTAATTCTAGAATCCACCTGCATTAACCATGCTATATAGAGTATAGAGATTAATCCACCTGTCTTGAGCAAAACTATCAAATTTTGCATGTAGTTTAATAATGAGGGAGAAGAGTTAGGGGGAAAAAAGCAATGGAGAAGTGGTCATGAATTTGTATGTTTATCTATGAATAAACGTCTCCCCTTTTCCAGGGTTCTCTTGGAACGGTTGATTGTAAATAGGCCACATCCTTGGGGTCTTCTTATTACCTTCATTGAGCTGATTAAAAATCCAGCTTTTAAGTTCTGGAACCATGAGTTTGTACACTGTGCCCCAGAAATTGAAAAGTAAGTTACAAGTAATTTTTTTTGATTGTCTGAGACATGAAAATGATTATTTGATATTCGGGGGCCGTGGGGAGTGCTTATTAAAAAGGCATTAGTTGCAAAGCTGATGTGACACATTGTTGGGCCTGAACTTGTCTCACAAGCTTGTTACTGTCTCCCTTCAGATTATTCCAGTCGGTTGCACAGTGCTGCATGGGACAGAAGCAGGCACAGCAAGTAATGGAAGGGACAGGTGCCAGTTAGATGGGAACTTCACCTCTGCTGTAAAAGTGTCAGCCTGGATGTTCCAGGTTCATAAATTGGCTGAAGACTCCGTTCAGCTCTTCCTGACTTTCCCAGCCCTTTGGTTCTCGGGTATCTGCCCCAATTACTGTTTGGGTCAGCTTCCTGTCTATGTGGGCACGTTCCAAAGTTTAAATGCATTTTTTTGACTCTTGGCCAAAATTTAGAAGATGCTGTGAATATCATTTTGAACTTGTGTAAATATATGACAGAGAAAACCTTTGTCTGGAACTTCTTGGGTTTGTGCAAAATGTGTCCATGGCAAGTAGATACTAGTACCTGCCCAGCTTGTCATTGAAGAGGCTGATGATGCCTGCACTTGTCTGTGGACATAGCTCCATGTCTTCTTACATTCTCAGTGTCCCAAAGAAAAGCAAAAAAGCCAGTTTAAATGTTATGTAACTTTAATGTGGACTGGGGACCTTGAAAATCACAGAAGTTGTTAAAAGTGGTGCGCTAGGATTTGGTATTCTAGGGAACCTGGGAAGAGCTTACAATTGCGACTCCCATGGATTTTTGTTTTGCTTCTTCCCCAAATCTAAAGCTCACTACTGGAGACCATCGTTTTCTCATTTCTGCTGGAGACCATATTGCTTGATCCCTGTGAGAGGCAGCTTTTTTTTATACAGGGAGACCAGACCAGACCTAAAGTTCCCCCGTCTCGCTCCTGTACTAGTGCACTGTGAGAAAAGGGAACCAAATAGTATGAATTGTCCCTCCTGTCCCCATTATCCCAGGCTAAGATGAACAACAAAAAATCAAAAGGACCAATACAGCCCCTTTTGGATTTTGAATGTTTTGGTAAATGCATTGGTCCACGTATTATACTTAGTAGCCTTTCTAGTTCCTGGGCTTTATTTTAGCTTCTCTACTTCATGTATGTGTCTAGACTATAGTTCCGCATTAAAGTCATGACACCCATGTGAGTACACTGTGCCTTCCTCAGTAGCAGCAGCCAGTGCTGATGGTGAGGACAAAGTGGACACCCATCCTTACAAAGCCCAGGCCTTTGGGAAACACCAGCTTCTCCTGAATGGTAGATCTTCCCCCACTAATGGTCTGGCATGTTTAAACAAGCAAGAAAGTGATCTTGTTCTTTTTCAATAGCTGAAAGTTGTTGGAGCGGGTTTCTATGGTTAAATAATTACAAAATGCCCATTTAAATATCCTTTACCTTCATGCTGTTTTGATGTTAATTTTTAAAAGAAAAACGTATCCCACTCATACATACCTTTCCTTTAATGACTTAAAGCTTTAATGGCCCAAGAGGATAAAAAGGTTCAGGATTAAATAGCAGAAATCGTACATGAATGGGGCTTGAATGTCATTGGTGTCTTAGGGTTTGTTCCCTGAGGGTGAGCTGTCCCATCTAGACCAAATTTGAGACTGCTGAGGAATTGCTTTGAGTGCCAGTGACATAGCTTTATTAAATCCTCTAAAAGGAAACAAAGTCTTTTTAAAAAGGTAAAGTGACTTACTCAAAATAGACCCAGATTTTAACCAGGTCTACACTTGCAAAGCCCATGTTATTAAACGCTAGACTACAAGACCTATTACTATCACAACCGCATTTCTCCTAACTGGTTCAAACAGAGAACAAAACAGCTATGAAATGTATTGGTCTTGGTGACAATTACCAGTGGTTCCCAATCCTTAAACATGTCACCCTTAACTCACAGTTAATCCTAACATATTTCCCACTGCTATTTAATAAGGAAAGAGTCCAAATTTTCTTCCTTTTAAAGCATCAGTGAGTATCAGCCTCAAGTTCTTCTCATGGATGAATTCCTTCAAGCAACAGGAAACCTGCTACCCTGTCATTTCCAACAACTGGTGTAAGATCATCTTCTGACCATAACGAACCTGTAAGGCCTGCTGTTCCCTCCAGCTGAGTTTGGCATAGACTGCCTTGTTACTGAGTAAATCTTGCTCAGCTTTTAAGTCTGTGGCATAGGTTTTCAGGGTCAACAAAACACTGTCCCGAAGAAGCTGTCTCCATGATTCTTTGAGCTTCGGAATATTTCTGATTGTCAGGCTGTCCTCTTCCTTTTCATCATTTCCCCATCCATCTTGATCTTTAAACTCTCTGAACTCCTCAGCAGGCATGCACAGTACCTAAAAGCAACCATGGGGCCAAGTAAATATACTACTTGTATATTTCTGATACTGATTTAGAGAAGCCAGCCTGTCCGGCAGCATTTACGTGTCATCTCTCTTAGTCCCATCTTTTCCCTCTCACCTAGCTTTACATAGCCCTGAATACTTAAGCTATTTCCAGTATTAAATGGCCATTCTCAGCCCTGTACCTTGAGTGTGGTGGTCAGTTCCTCTTCAGTCAGCACTTCTTCCCGCCCAATCACAAAAGCCCCCTCTTCCCCTACCATCTCCAATTTGCATAAGTAATCCCAGCGTTCACAGAGCAGGAGCCTTTCAGCTTCAACTTTTGTTCCTGTAGATAGAAATAGTGTGAAAAGTCTGTGTACCCTAGAGCTCATTTCTTGTCTAGCACCTAGTCTACAAAAAAGAAGCAACTGACAATTGCTATGTAGCAGGGCACCTGGGGCAGGGACAGAGGCACATCCACAAGTGTCCAAGATTGAGTTAACCTGACACTCACCCTGTACTGCTGCTTCACGAACTGTCACCATTTGAATGTCAGCGGTGTCATCTGTGTTGTCTGGATATGGTTCAACAAAACCGTACATATGAATCAGTTGCCAATTAGCCATTTGCCCGTAAGTGTTGAAAATCTCATGGCCTTTAGGAATGAGCTGAGTAGCCACCATCCGAAGACAATTCTGGAGTGGAAGGGAGAAGCTCGGACAGGGCCCTTCCCAGGCCAGCCCCATGAATTACTTTCCTCTTAGGAAGAGCCTCCAGCAGGTATAGTTCAGCAATGGGACTGATGCTATGCCATCCTACTAACAGTCTATCTTTAGTTTCCATTAATTTCCTGTACTGTAAAAGGAGTGAAGCTTACAAAGGTCAAACGTCAGCCTTAATGTTTTTAGGTAACTCCATAGTGGCATTTTCAGCACTTAAAAAGTTGAAAAAACCTAGATTGAAGTAGGAAAGGCAAATGGAGGCAAGGTTTAAATAACAGCCATTTCCTAAGTTTATTTAATCCCATAAACTTGAATCTTTTCTTGCAACTTTCCACGTAGCAAACAATTGATAGACACACTGCCCTGGCATCATCTTCATCCTCTGACAACTATCCACAGGGACCTGACAGTCTTGGCTCCCTAGACCGCACAGAGCAGCCAATCTCTTAGCACCAAGTAAATGGTGGTAGTCAAGTTCATCCGAGGATTGACCACAACTTTATTTGAGGGCTTGGAGATGTTTTGTGTTCAAACTATTTCACGGAGATGTGCAAATGAATACATACAGGAGGCCTAACTTCGCCTACTCCTTTTTACCATGAGAAGAGAACGAAGCCCATTTAGCCCAACTGCCAGGCTGGCATAAATGTCAGGCACTGGTTTGAATCAAATGCCCCATCAATGCACATAAGAAAAAACTGAAGCGATCCACTCACTGGAGAATATTCTAGATTGGCATTGTGATTGGCTACATGGTTTAGTATGTCTGCAGCAGGCACCATCAGAGGGGGGTTTGGCTCCTTTTCATCCTCCTCTTCCTCCAGTGGTTCCTGAAAGCTGCCACAGAGAGTTTGGCTCAAGCCCATTGCAGAGACAGGATGGGGTTCCCCTCTGTCTCTCAATACAGTTCAAAAGAAGAGGGTCCTTTCAGGCTCTGCTCACTGACCTGTAGGCCATCACAAGAGCCACCAGTTGGTGGTAGAGTTCCGGGGAGCGAACCCTGGGGCTGAAAAGATCGGGGTGGGCTTCCATGAAGGGCAGCACGATAGAAGAGTACTCGCTGCGGATGTTGGCCAAATCCTTCTCCACGGCCTCGGGCACCCCCGTGCCCTGTAACAACCGCCGGCGCTCCTCCTCGGGCCTGCATGAGACCCCCACCCAGGTCCCGTTAATAATAACCTCACGGGACTCGTGCTTGGGAGCCAGCCCTGTCCCCGGGCCCGGGCAGTGGGACGCGCCCCAGCCCCGGCTACGGCTCTCACCAGAACATGGGGTGCTCCAAGCTGCCCAGCTCCGGCCAGAGCGCAAAGTAGGGGCTCCAGCGTGAGGCCGGGGCCTGCAGCTCGTGAAGCAGTGCCAGCAGCAGCGGCACCCAGCCCGACTGGCTCTGCAGCGCGCCTCGCTCTGAGGGAGACAGAGGTTGAGCGCCCCGGCGAGGCCTGCAAGTCGGCCTGTGTCCCCCTCCCGCCGGCGCGCCCACCTCGCTCCAGCAGGCCGCTGATTGAGCAGGTGTGCTGCGACAGGAGCACGGCCCGCGGTACCGCAAACAGCAGCTCCCCAGGCTCCACGCCGTCCTGGGCCACCATGCCGTAGCCGGCCACCGTGCCCTTCCGGCTCACTGCCACCTGAGCGAGGGGTGGAGCAGCCGATCAGAGCGGGCGGGCGCCGCGCCCGCTTCCGCCTCCCAGCCCGCCCCACCTCCACCCCACTCACCTTGGGACTCAGCTCCAGCCCCACGCACCGGCACCAGCTCAAGAAGCCGGCCACCGGGTCCGGGTCGCCGCCGCCCACAGGCCCCGCCACCTGAGACAACCGAGCGCAGTGGGAAGGCCCCGCCCCGGAAACTTCGCTGGGGGCGGCGAAGACGGCGGCGCGCGCAGAGGAAGGGCCCTGGGTGGAGGAAGGGCCCTGGGTGGGGGAGGGGACCCGAGAGCCGCAAGTGACCCGCGGGAGGGAGGGAGTGGAAAGGGGCCCCGCGCGGGCCGGGCCGCGCGAGGCGCGGTGGATTGGGGTGGGTCCCGCGCCGGCCATCCGCGACTTACCCGCCGGCGCTTCGCCTGAGTCGCCATAGTCCGAAGGCGCGCGGCCCGGGCTCTCTGTGGAGCCGCGCGGGCGCTTCCGGCGTCCCTAGCCACACCTCGGGGCGGGGCTCGGGGGCGGGGCCTGTAACCTCCACCCTGCTCGCCAACCACGTGAAGCTCCTGTCAGCGTCCACGCGGAAAATGAGTGGGAATTTGCACCTGGTTAAATCATTCCTCCCGAGAACATCCTTTTGTGAGTCCAGGTGTCCCCAATTGGGTTTAGGAAACGTGCAGTCGGGTGCAGGAAGACATGTTTTTGTGCCACCTCGAGCCTGATTCTGAGCCAAGCACAACCCACCCCTTTGGTTTCAGATAGGTAAGACCTCGGGGTAGAAGACCGGGTGAAGAGCAAAATCCGGTTTCTGTATGCAAGGCTGAGGCCCTCAGAGCTGCCGGCTGTGAGCGCACCCAGAGGGACGCAGGCCTGCCTTCTTGCTCTCAACCCCTCCTCGTTAGCTATGTTCATCTAACCGTTTTTTGTCAATTAGAGCAGCGTGTGTGTCTCTGTGTGTGTGCTTCAGTGGTGTCGGGAGGGCTCCCAGAACTAGAACAGACCCCCTCCCTCTGCCACATGGTGGGTTTTAATTTTATTTACTTGCTTTATTAGCCGGCACACAGCAGACAGTATCAGTTTATTGGGTAAATGGCTGATTTATTTCCCCATGTTTAACTGTTAAATTTAAGAAAAGGAGACAGTGAATGTAGAGGTTACAAACGTGTGTTTTTAAGTCAGTGCCAAGACCAGCTCCCAACTTGGCTTATTAGGGCAAATCCCTTATCCTGAGGCTGTTTCCTCAGCTGTGAAACTAAGATAATATCTATTCTGTAACATTAATGTAAGGATTGGTAGACGAATGTATGGGACAAGAAGTGGAAACAGAGCTGGGTGGAAACGCTTATCCTCACCCTGCAGGCTCCACCCCACCTAAACCCAAGAAGCAGCAGCCTCACCAGCGTCACCATTCTGCCTATTCAAAAGCCTCCCATGATGGGCATGACATCACCATACTTGAATTCTTCTTAGTTTCTTTATTAGTTTTTCAGCACAGTTAACTCTTTCTACATTGACAAGGTTTTTTTTTTTTCGTTTTGTCATTTCCAAGTCTCATGACATTAGCCACTAGAATACACAAAATTAGTGTCTTCACTCTGTACAGAGAGGAAAATAATAAATTCCATTAAAAGTTCACTTTGACTAAAGAGACAACCTCCAATGGACAACCACACGCAGGAGGACCCAATATACATATTAATGTATAGATATTAATAGATATCTCATCTGAAAGAACACAGCAAAAAAAAAATGTCCAAGACTTGCAGTGCTATCTACAGTACGAGGGATTAATTCTACCAGCTTTTCAGTCACATTTGATATTCAAAGGAAGCACGTGAGTGAATAGAAACTGGGGACAGAATAACACTCCACCAGGCTCTAGATCAGTCTCGTAATGGCTTAAGATTATAGAAGGGGGTGGTGATATGTGCAGAGGAAATGTGGGTGCAGGTGTCCTCTCAGCCTCAAAGCACCCCCCCACACACACTTCCCCAGCCCTGCATTTTTCATAACTCTCTCCCTTCCTTTTACTCGTTTTGGGGTTTGGAGCAGTTGATTGAGGCTCTGAGACAAATGGCTTCTGGTGTCTGCGCCAGGAGAGTCTACCTGATAAGGTAAGTGGAAAGGAAGCATGTGGCACAGTCCTGGGATTTAGGTGGCTGGGGCGTGTGAGGAGCCTTTCTCCTCTGCCTGGCCCTTGTTCACTTCAGGAGTCTTCACCTCCCACCCCAGGATCCAGCAAGCCTCGGCCAAAGCCCACTCAAATAGGCTGAGACAGTGATGGGGCCCGCGGAAGTCTTGCTACCTTGGACCATTTCTCTCCAAATAAACGTTCCTTAGTGATGCCTACGTGAAACGCTGGCATAACTTGACTATAACTCTCCCTAGAAACACCATGTTTCTGGTGGCTTTGGCCGTACTGCTGATCAGGTTGCCCTCCATGGAACCTGGGGGCAAAAAAAGGGCCTATCGGGACTTTCATCACTGCTGCCTCTGGCCACATGCTGGCTCCCAAAGGCAGACAAACACCAAGTTCTCTTAGGGGTGCACTCAATCCTCACTGGCTATCCCAGCCTTGAACCTCAGCCTGCAAGTCAGGTCCCTATGGAGATGGAGAACCAGACTTTCTGCTTCAGGGCCTTGGCTCAGAAATGCGACAGGGCTGGAAGGTGGTGGAGTGTGTGGGCTGAAAGAGTGCGTGGGGTTTCTGCCCTCAATGTCTTTCATGTTCTGTTTTTCTTGGACAGAAACCGCGGGCTTCAGCCCCTGCCTGCCTGAGAGCACCAGCAAAACAGCTGCTTGGTAGGAGCGCCCCCTTGTGGCTACTGCTCAGATGATTGTCACATGTGCTACAAGACTGAAACAGATGTGCTTAGTGGAGGGGCTGCAGGAAAGGGGCCTGCAGAGCTCCAGGGTTCCTCACCTCCCAGTGCTCCCTGCTGCTGTCTCCTGATTCTCACGTCAGTGCCTGAGCTGGACCCCATGCTCCTGCTGTCCCTGCAGCCACCGCCTCAAAATCCCATCCCATGCTCTTCAATCAAGGAGGTCATCATCCCATGCTCTTTCTTTAATCCAGGATATTACCCTGGACCCTGGCCAGAGAAGGACTCCAAGTCTTTCCTTAGCTCATCCCCTTCGCCCTGACTGTGCCTGGACGGTGGGGAATTGGAAGAGAGGGGGCTAAGTGAGCCAAGTTAACAAGTGAGTGAGGTCGGGGTGGGCAAGAATGAGCCCCTCAAACCTTCTGGAGACTTCTGCAGCGTTTCAAATGGATCCCCTCATCTTTTTAAACAAAAGAGAAGCAACCCCATTTCCTCCCCTTCACCCTCACAAAAATAAACTAAAGGGAAAAAGGAGCCGGTGCGAGGATGGCAGTGGGACGTCGATGCGGGCAGGGGCACGTGGGCGTCTTCAGGGGACCCAGGGCTTCAACAGGACACCTCCATGGTGTGGTTGACCTGGCCCAGCCCCTCGCTGCTCTCCGAGTGGGTACAGGCCTGCGGGCGGCTGCCATCCACCGAGCTGGCACTGGTGAGGGATGCGGTGCGAGAGCGGGCAAGACGGGTCATGCTGGCTGAGGGCACTGTGGACAGAGATGGGGCCAGGTGTAAGGGCCAGCGGGCAGGGCTGGGCGCCAGCAGGCAGGAGAAAGACACGCAAGCAAAGCGGCCAGCGAGGCCCGTTCTTCCAACAGCACAGAGGCCTTTCCCGAGCCAGGGCTCTAGCATCTGCTCTGTCAAGCCCAAGGCATGCAATGCCAGTGACAGTGAATGGGCCGATGGGGCGGGTGCTGGGGGTCACAGAGGCCAGCAGGACCCTCTCAAAACAGCTGTCCAGAGCTAAGGCCAGAACAGGCATCCTTGAGCTGATACAGAGACATGACGTTATTTCAACTATGCCTCCCTCAAGCGGATGGTGGGACCCGAGGAGTAGGACTTCTATAAAGGAAGACAAGGTGTGATGGCCTCAAACTGCCCTAAATCCCATTCTTGCCTTTATTCGGAGTTTCACAAGCGAGACCCAACCCTCCTGAACTCAACCGGCCACCTGTCTGGCTCCGGCATGGCTGGGCACCCCTGCTTCCGGGGTCATGCCTGGGCTCAGCCACTGAAAAGATCTAGTTCCACCTGCCAGAGCTCTGCAAGCCGCACGGCCCATGGCAGCCGAGAAGCAAGACTGCTCTAAAACCCAGCCAATTTAGAGCCCCAAAATGGGACAGAGCCCACGCAGCTCAGGATCTGTGCAAGCGACTCTTGGGCTTCGGAGTTGAGCAGGACACAGAAAGGTTCCAAACCACAGCAAGATGCGGCTCAGCACTGTGCAGAGGAGGGAGCAGGGGGAGGGCGGGAGGTACCCATGCATCAGAGGGGCAGGGGGTGTCACGGGGTGTCACGGGGCTACCTGCTCCTCCACTCAGCCTTCGGTCCTTCAAGTATGCAACTAAGAGAGAAGACAGAGCCGGAAAAGGGGGGCGTGGCGGGGAGACAGAACACAGGTGAGGGGCATGGTCCGCGAGGCAAGGGTGCTGAGATGCAGAGATGAGATGAAAGAACAGGCAGAGGGCTGGGGGCAGGGCCAGAGCCTCAGGAAGCCCACTCCTGCCCACCCACCAAGCAGCAGCCACGGAAGGAACCATAGCACCCATTGATCTCAGCCTGGCCCTAGGAGCCCTGACAGCAGGATGGCATCACTCATCTCACCCTTGCCCCTCCAGCCTGGGCTGGGGCACTGAGGGGCCCATATCCTAGTCCCAGCGCCCTCACCATTCTGCTGGGCCTCGGTCTCCCCATGTACAGAACAGGGGAGGCCTGAGCAAACTCCCAAATCCCTCCCAACTCTTGGGCTGCCTGCTGGTATTTCTCCGGGGACCCTGAGAGCTTGTCCAGCCCCTGACAAGCGCTGCTCATCCACCCATCCCCCAGATGTTCCCTGGGTGTCTCCCGTGCTCGGGGCTCAGAGCCCCTGCTGTGTCCCACTGTCAGCCTTGGCCCTTCATCGCCCTACTTCTGCACAGAGAGGCTGGCAGGCCCCTGGCGGCCCCGGAGGAAGTTCTGTTCCTGGATGTGCCCCCCCCCCCGCCTGCCCCGACAGAGGCACAAGCTAAAATCTGAGGGGAACAAACATTCAGGGAGAGGAAGTTTGCTTCCAGCAGGAACCAAGTATGTAGGGGAGAGGGGTCAAGGAGATTCACATGTGTGTATGTGTTGGGGGGCTCATAAGCACAGTCTAGGAGCCTCATCTCTGCACAAGGGGAAGTCTTGGAGCAGGAGGGGGGCGTGGGCAGGGAGCCAGTGCTACCTGTAGCCCCTGAAGCCCCGCGATCTTCAGAATGCCACCCCCATGTTCAGCTGCTTTCAGCTCTCCTAACACCCAGATGGCCCCACATGCCTTTCCCGGTCCCAGACTCCAAGCCAACTCTTGTGATGCGCCATCTACCACCTGTGACAGAAGCGGTTCTCAGGTGCTGTAGGCTCAGCAAGGGGCGGGTGACGTGGATGACTCACCTTCAGGCAGGCGTCCTGGCAGGCCCCAGCCAGGGCCCCGGTTCCCCAGGGCTGAGAGAAAAGTCCCCCACCCCAATAGGCCCAGCTGTTCCATGAGCATGGTGCCCCAAAGTCTCTGCAGGGTCCCGAGAGCTGGGCATGGCCTGGGATGATTGACTTACAACTTAGGTGGAGACGCCCTGGCAGGTCTTTGGGTGTCCCCGGCTGCAGTGGGGGTCATGTAGTAAGAATGATCCAGCATCTGGGTCCCCGGTCCACAGACCTCATCTGCCCACCGCCTGCTGAGCATCACCTGACAGGTGTGCCAGCCCCACCTTGCTGCCTGCCACCAGTCTGTGGGAAGGGGCGGGGTGGAGGTGTACTTACTGTAGCCCATGCCTTGCAGGAAGTATTTGAAGGCTTCCGTCAGCTTCCCAGGCTGCAGGAAGGAGGGACAGGCACATGCCTTGATTGGCTGCCTAGGAATAGGGGCACAGGGGAGGCTTCCCCCACCCCAGGCTAGGTAATGGAGGGAGGGCCAAGAGTCTCACCTGTGTGACCTGGGGGAGCCCCCCGGAATCTGCCATCTGCAGGGGAGAGAGGGAAGTGAGCTAAGCAGGGGCCACCCCACACCTTGCCTGCCCCTCACACACCTGGATAGGCTGTACTGAGCAGACACACCACCTGCTCCCGCCCTGGCCGGGCCCACAGTTGGGGGAGGTGGCCCAGGGCTGGGGAGGAGGGCCTCACCTTCAGGAAGGTCGTGGTGGTTGGGTCCAGTTTGGAATTGCACTCAACCTGGGGACAAGGAGCCAGCTTCAGCAGAGCAAGACAGCCTCAGCCCCTGAGGGTATCAGGGGAGCCCCCTGCCTCAATTGCTAACTCAGGTTCTATCCCCTGAGCTGGGAGGCTCTACTGGTAAGGAATGAGAGCAGGGGGCAGACACAGGCCAGGACCTAGGCTCTGGCTGAGGTTGCCACTCCTCAGGCCACCTTCTGAAAGGCCACGCCTTCTGAGAGACTTGTGGCCCTTGAACTCCACTCACAGCTGCTGGGAGGACTGGGCAATGTCCTCATGAGGATCCAGGACCGCCTTGGCAGAAGTGGCTGGGCAAGCGCCAGGCATCACGAGTCGGGTGGTGAGGTGAGGGAGTGCCGAGGCTCAGCAGCGCACGGGCCTCTGCCTGGGTCAAGATGGCCAGCGCAGCCCACACCCCTGCTCCTCCAACACCTCAGGCACAGGGGGAGCGTGGTAGCTTCCTGCACACTGAGGGCCACCCAGGCTGGACCCCCGACCTTCTGTGCTGAGGGGCCGTCAGGTGGCCTGGCCCTGGCCCCACCTTCCCCTGGTCTCCAGGCCTCGCTCACCTGAATGGGGGCTGTGCCAGGCAGTGATACATGACGAGATGGTGGGGAAATAGGGCAAGGAGCCCACCATTCAGTGCCTGTCCCTGAGATTTCCCAGGGCTGGATCAAGAATTGGCCCTGCTGGTCAGAGGCCAATGACCCCCCGACTCCTGCCGCGTGCCCCGCCCCCAGCAGTCAGCATACTCCTTCACTCACCACCCCATCCTCAGCAGGTGCGTTATCTCCAACTACCAGCATCACAGGGCAGCTGCAGACACAGAGAAAAAGGGTTGTCTGGCTTGGGCATGGGAAGCGGCAAAGGCGTGGGCAGGCTGGAGGGCGAGCGGACACTCACCGGAGCGTCTTGGCATTGGGCACCGTTCCAGGCCGGTTAATGTCCAGGTCTCTGCGGCTAGAGGGAGAGGCAGGAGTGGACATTTCAGGACTGGATGGGGGGTGTGTGTCCCCAAGCCTGATACTGCTGTATTTCATCCATCCCCCCACAATGACAATTAGGGCCCAATATCTCTGGAGGCCCCGGGCTGGTCCCAGAGCTGGGGCTCAAGGTCATCCAGTTGTCTCAACAGTGGAACAAGGCCTTACACATCCCAACTGGTAAAATAGGGAGGCAGGGGCCTGCTCGGCATAAGCAGAAGTCTTCAGGGCTCCCCATGCGTGACTTCTTCCCAGACCCCCAAATTCATGCTAGGTGGGCCCTCGGATTTGGCTGTCCCTCTGAGATGGGCACCACCACCTGTGCTGTGGGATTCCCCGGCCTCTCACTCTCCACTGTTCCTCCAGCAGCCTGCACGGGCTGCATCCCTGCAGGGCAACCCCCAAAGAGGTTTCAAGGAACACAGCTTAAAAACCACTAATCTCATCCAACCTCCTCCCCGTTTACAGATGTCGACACTTAGGCTCAGGGTTGTTGGGGGGCCAGGGGTGTCAGCCATGTCTCATTGCTCCAGCTGGCAACGCCTCAGGGAGGAGCAGGAATGGACAAGCCCGGGGACCAGAGTCCGGAGCCCTGCTCCCTCTCATGAGGTGTCACCCTGGGCAAGAAGTGACCCCTCTCGGAGGCTTAACGATCTGCGTATCTACAAACTGGGGACAGCATGTCGTCTGCCTGCCTGCTCTCACGCAGTTGTCGCGCGGGGTCCCCTGAGAGGAAGCTCTGTGCCAGGGCCCCGCCCACACCTGTTGTACATGTTCCAGAAAAGCTGCAGGTTGGCCTGGTTCACCACGTTCCCGATCTGCTGCCGGTAGCTCTGCACCAGCTCCGTGCTGCTCACCAGCTCCTCCTGAGCCCAGGGGGGCAGATGGGCAAACGGGGCACACAGGAGTGGACAGATGGGGACACGGGCTCAGGGGCTCGTGCAGGTGTTACTGCCGGAGCAGCCTTTGCCTGCTCCCAGTGGGGGGACGGGGTAAGCTCCACAGAGCTGTGGCAAGAGGCCTCCCCCATCTGTCCTTGAAATGCCTCGGCACAGTGGCCAAAATAGAGGACAGAGTGAGACAGGTCAGAGGCCACATATCTCCCGACTTCCTCCTCCTGCCCAGCTGGGAAGGGGGATAAGTCCCTGGCACCCCTGAGAGTGGGCAGAACCAGGCCCTTCGGCAGCTGCCGAGGCACCCCAACACCCCCTGCCCCACCAGCCCTGCTCCTGGGTGAGGATGGTCCCACCTCCTTACCTGGCTGAAGAGGTGGGATAGCACCGTGTCAGGTAATGTGCTGGTAAGGCCAGAGAGCTACAGGTGGAGGTGGAGGCCAGGGTGAGAGCTGCCCCTCACCACCCCCGTCCTCCCCAGGTGGACCACGCTCACCTTGGTGGCGGCCCAGTCGATCCAGCCTTTGCCATTGGGGTCAATGTTTATCAGCACCAACCCCTCCACCAGGTCGGGGAAGATGAGCTGCCGTGAAAGAAAGACAGGGTTGGGGGCTGAGACGGGGTGCAAGGAGCCCCAAACTTCCTGCCGAGAAAACAGGCTGTAAAATTCTGTCCCTGCCTGTCTCGCAGGTGGTTGGGAGGGTCTGAAGAGAAGCACACACTCTATAAGGGCAAGATGCCACTGCTGGCGACAGCTGAGAGCCTGCGTGGGCTCCACCTGCAGCTGCAGCTGCCCCTGCGTGGCCTCCCTGCTCCCCAACTGCAATTCCAAAACTCTTGGAGTCATCTTAAATCTATGCCTCTATCACTGTTTTTCACCCCTTTTAACATATGTTTGGAGATGCTGCTGTTGTAAAACTGAGGATTAAACAACTTCAAAAGAACATTTTGTTTCTTTGCTTTTATAGACAAAGATGCAGTGATGTTAATTATGTGAGAACCAAAGCCTGTGTTGTTGTGGTAAAGGAGACCTCCACACATTCTGTGCACATGTTTATGGGGTGACAGACAGACAGTACTCAGGTTAGGTCAAGCTTGGGGTGGCAGGGAATGGTCTACAGTTAACAAAATGGTTAAGTGTTGAAATTGAAACTGGAGTTGAAAACTCTATTTCTTTTTGCATATTTTGAATCCTGAAAATTAAGTTTTTGTTTTTAGAGATGAAAAGCTTGTGGGCTCCTTTCCAACATGATGATTCTGAAATGTGACTTTCTTTAAACCTCGCAACCTTAACATGAGTGTAATTTTTGGTGAAAACATGACTCATGTTTAAATATTACCCTAACCGGTGAATGAGTAGTTAGGATAATCCTTATTCAGTGGCTCGAACAATTAGGTAGTTTGTTGCTAACAGAAATTTTGACTTCCGATAATAGTTAAGCTACAGTTTACAGTCTTTTGAGGAAATGTATGGAAAAAGTAACCTCTTTTTAAAAAAGTTAATTTCTTTGGAGGAACAAAAGAAAAATTGGGCTTTTCTAACTGAAGAGGAAGTGGGGCGAGGAGGAGAAGAAAGAAGCCTGAAGTTCCTGTAGCTGAAGAGTTGCCCCTGGGAAGACCAGCCCTGGGGTGGGGGTGGGGGTGGGGGGGAAGACTCACTGCAAACTTGGCCAGCACATAGGCTCCGGCTCCCACACCAATGCCAATCACGTACTTGAACCTGGTGGAGAGCATGGCTGGTCACTCTAGAGCTAGGGGTGCCATTTCCCATGAATGCCATCCAGAGCAGACCCCACCCACAGCCCTCAGTCCTCAGCCCTCAGCTGGAGCCCGGTGGCTCTGTGGTGATGGTGGGCATCCCGTAGCCCCCAGCACAGGGGCAGGGGATGGGGGGGACTCACCCAAAGTGCTGCACCACGCTGGGGAGCATGGCAGCCAGCTGCTCCATGGAAGGGAACTGGTACCTGCGTACAGAGTAGGATTCAGGCCCAGGTGTGGCCTGGGACACAGAGCTGGGGAAAGCTAGAGGGGGCTCCGGGGTACCTACCCCTGAGGAAACTGCGACGCCCCCACCTGCTGGCCCGGAGCATCCACGTGGCACACCACAAAGTGCTTGGTGATCTCCTGCATGTCCTCAAAGTTGAAGAAGGTGTTGAAGCACAGCTTGTCTGCAAAGACACATCTCTCAGCTGTGGCTGAGCAGAGGGGTAGGGAGGCCAGTGGCTCCGAGACGGAGGGTAAAGCAGAGGTCTCCGCCTCATGGTCCGGGGGGGGGGGACGCCAAAACCCAAATGGCTCAAGGCACAGAGCCAAGTGCGGGCAGGGATCTGCGGGGCGCTGTGGGAAGGGAGGAGAGGCCTCACTGCTCGGGCAGATTCGAGGCAGGGGAAGGCCGGATGAGGCTGGGCTGCACTTACGGTTGAGGCCCACATCATGGTAGGTGAGGATGGCCGGGCGGTTCCCCTTGGGGGAGCCCCGGATCACTACGTGCAGAAGGCCGTAAGGCGTCTCAATGTCATGTTCCTGGAGGGGAGAGGAAGGGGCTGTTGGGCTGCTGGGCCTGTGGTGTGGCCTCCATGCCCCACGGCGGGTGGGCATCCTATTCTCGGAGCCCAGAAGAGAGGACATAACAGATGGAGAAACCCTACCCAGGGGTGTTCGGCACAGGGACATGAACTGGTATGCACAGGGACGTTCTGGTCCCCTCGGCAAACCAGACAATGGGGTGCGCAGCCACTGCCAGGGCCCAGGTCCAGGCCCTGCTGCACTCAGCCCTCCAGGGTCCAGCGAGGCCATTTTTCCCCATCTCACCGCTGTCCCCCCCACCCTTTTCCCCCCCAGGACAGCTTTGGCACCCCAGCCTGAGTTCTGCCCTCACAGCGTTCCTCCCCACCTTGGACTCCTTCAAGGGCGGCTGATCCTGAAGGCTAATCACCTCAACAGCCGGGCCTAGAATCCTCGGTACCACCCCCATGCCAATCAAGCCCAGCCTCCGACCCCCACACCCGGTTCCACTTCCAGGCTGCTCCTTCCCCCTGGAAAACCAACCCTGGTGATCCTCAAGGCCTCAGGTAGGACCTGGTTAGACAGCACCCTTCCCAAGGCTTTCTGCAGTGGCCACTCTGGGATACTCCTGTGTTCATGCCCTTGGTTTTACTGTTTGGGGTCGTTAGTCTTGCAACTCTGAGTGGGGTACACCACTTTTCTATGCCTCAGCCACTTCTTCTCAGAGGGACTCTGTAAGAACTAAGGCTGATGTCTGAGGAGTGTTTAGCACTTGGAGGGGGACCCAGAAAGGGGGCTGTTGTGCTGTGGTGTCCCTGAGCCTGGGAAGGCACCCTGCTGGCTGACCCCTCTGCAAACAGGTCACTTTGGGCCACTCAATGGGGAACACCACGAGGGTCTGTCAGAGCTGAATAAACAGGACTGCCCGGCACCACAGGACCCTGGGAACTGGGCCAGGGCGTCGGAGGTGGGGTTAGGGTCAAGGACAGGAAGGAAACAGCCCATGACTGAGCACCTACTGCGTGCCAGGTGTCGGTAAAAATGAAGGAGCTCTTCCTCCCCCTCCTGTCCCCCCACCACTGTACACATGGGGGACCCTTAGTTTCAGAGAGAACCTAAGTTCCTGACCCCAACAGGAAAGGGGAGACGGGAAGCAGGAGACAGCTTCTCGGGGACCGGCCTTTTGGGTCTCGGCTCAGAGGACCACTGTCCAGGCCTGTGTCTCCAGCGGGGAGTGACAGGTGGTACCAAGCCCATGGCCAAAGGCCACCCCCTGGGAGCCACACTTGTGCTGTGAGGCCCTGTTCGATAAAGCCTGTCGTCCTCTGGGTGGGCCTAGGCCCACCGCAGCCTCCCCGCGTCCCAGGCTCATCCTCTCTTGGTGCCGTCAAAACAAGGAACACCTCCTGCTCACTGTCCACTCACTGAACACTTTTCGTGGGTCTTCTCCTCTCCTTCTCACAGGGATCCAAGCCACAGAGGAGCACACTAAGGCTGGGAAAGGAGAAATGACTTGCCCAAGGTCAAGCCCAGAGAGGGCAGGGCAGGCGAGGCCAGGTGCAGGCCTCCGGGCTATGCACTGAAGGCTGCCTTTTCTGAGGAGATGAAGCTCCACTCAAGACACTGCGGAGCAGGCAACCAGAGCAGGCAGCCCCTCCACAGCGGCGGGTCCCTGCGGCTCCCTGCTGCGGGGCCATGCCGCATCGCCAACCCCCACACACTTGGCTCTGGAGGACAGGTGGGGGGCAGAAGGGGTGCACAGTGCTATGGAAGGCGGGGCTGGCAGGCAAGAGGGGCACCCATTGCACAAGAGCTGCAATGCGCTTCCTGCGGCATGAAGGGCAGTTTCTCGGCGACACGGGGTCACCCCTCGTCCTTTCAGGCACAAGTCAGGGCCCACGATGGCAGTCTTCCACACCCAGCCCGCCATTGGGTGTATGTGATGGGGTGACTGTCCCCTCCTAGCCTTGGTGTGACTGCCCCGTCGTCATCCCCTGGGCGGCGGGACTCCTCTGCAGCGCCTGCTAAGGCTCAGCTCCCCAGGGACGGGAAGGGCTGTCAGGACCATCGGCCTGGTTACCCCTCCCGCGCGCACGGCCCAGTGACCTTGGCTGAACCCTCCCGCCGACCCAGGAGCTCAGACCCAGCTCAGCCAGATAAAGGCCGAGTGTCCTCATCTCTCGGGGTGCTGCACACCCGGGGCGCCCCAAAGGCGGCAGCCGGAGGAGCTCGGAGCCCCCAACTCCCAAGACGGACCGCTCCCATTGGCTCCCAGTGACGTCAGGGCCCGCCCCCCGCCCCCAGTTGGGCACCAGCCGGAGGCACTGCGGCAGCTAATCCCCCCTCAGCCTGTGCGTCTCCCCTCGCCCGTGACCTTGAGGGCTGCGGGCCTTTGGAGCAGGGCATAGGCGGGGTGGAAGGGTGGGCGGGCTAGTGCGGCTCTTCGTCACCCGTATCAATCATTCAGCGGAAAGGCGGGGAGGCTGGCATCCTTGCCCGCGCGCGGTCTGCGGACCCTGCAGGGCAGGCGGGAGTGGCAGGTGGAGGGATAGGTGTGCCCCGCCTCTCCCTTGAGGAAGACGAACAGCACCCAAGGCAGGAGGAGGTGCCCTGGCGCCCACCGGGGGCCCCCAACCCTGCAGGCTCATGACTCCAGCGTTGCCTTCCCTCACTCACAAAACAAGGCACCACGCGATCCTTCTGCGTCTCCTCCCCCGCAAGGACCCAGTACTGAAGGCCCTGTTAGCATCCCACCCCAGACCTCCTCGCAGTGCGTTGGGGACCACGAAGGAGCTGCAAGCACTTCCTAAGAAAGGAAGAGGCTGTTTGTCCAGTTCGTACTCCGGTGCAGCCACCCAAACAAACAAGACAACCCCACAGGGTCAGGAGGGCAGACACCTGCGCACACAGACACCCAGATACCCAGGGCTGAGGTGATTACAGGCGTGAGGCAGCTGCCAGCCTGGCACGTGCCAGGCGGAGGGCACATGCCAGTGATATGTACACACGCTGGCACACGGGTCCGCAGAGGCTTACAGCCAAGTCACAGACAGGTCCGTTTTATGCAGATTTCAGCCCTCTCTGGCATGTCCTGACTGGCAGGCAATCCCCAATCGCTGCTGCAGGCCAGGGCCACCAGGGGCTAGAACCTGCTGGCCTTGCCTCAGTTCCCCCACAAGGTGAAGCGACTGAAGGCAGATCTGCCATAAGACATAGGCAGGGGGATATCCCGCCCCTTCCTTCCCAACCACCTCGTCGCCCCACAACCCTCACTCACCCCATCCCAGCACTCGGGCATCTTGCCGAGGGAGGCGATCCGCCTCGATGAGGAAGAGCAAACAAAGGCCTGAGTCACTGGGGTCCAGAGGGAGGGGGCAGCTACAGCGGGAGGCCAGCGGCTCTGTGATGGGGCGCCCTCCAGGGCCATTTATATGCTGAGCCTGCCTGTCCTAGGCCCGCCCCTCCTCCCTGTGGGGTTTCTGAGCAGCCACTCACTCGCCTGGAACCCTAGCTCCCAGATTGGCTGTCGGGAGAGCCTGGTTCCAATTGGCTTCCGAGGTCTTCGCTCACCCTGCTCCTGCTCCGCCTGGCCTAGCCCCACCCCCACCCCAGCAACACATCATCCTTTATGTCCCCAGCCCCTGTATTCCACCTGCCCCCAGCACACACCGACAGCCACAGCTGCACAAGGGGTCCTCCACCACATGCACAGGTGCTCTCTGTGTCAGGTACACAGGTACCTCTTACGGACACCCACACCAATGCAGGGCAGGGCAGGGCAGGCCACACAGGCATGCCCCAGACAGAGCAGCCTTTGGCCCATACCCTGGATCAGTGAGGGGCCTGACAGGGCCCCAAGCCCAGCCTTCACATTAGGAAGGCCTGTATCACTTAACCTTGAGAAGGTGTGGGGAGTCACTGCTCTCTGGGGCAACCTGGGACGTGCCCCTGCTCCAGGGTACTGTTCTCCACATACCCCTCCCTCCACCCAAGGTCTCCACTAACTACAGCAGCCTCCACACCCAGGGCATGACCACACTGCTAAAAGGAAGGTTATGGGGAGGGGCACACGCCAGGTCTGTCCTCCCTGCCCCTATCCTGCAGACCCACCTAGACCTCTTCCTGGGACCAACCAACCAGCATGGCTCTCAGATCTCTAGGGAGCCGGACACATGCGCTGCCTCAGGCCCTGTCCTCCTGAGCAGCAAGGCTTTGGGTGGGGAACTGGCTAGAGACATGCAAGAGAGAAAACAGAGGAGGAGGGCGAGCAAAGGAGAGCAGAGGAGGAGAGGACATAGGCCGGGTAGCGGGCAGAGGAGGGCGCCCAAGGGCTGAGAGAAGCAGGAGTGACAGACCGAAGGGAGGGGTGCTGGACACCTAGACCCCCATTTTGTCTCTTTGGTGAAAGAGTGCGCCACTCACCCCAGCCTGCGCCGTCAGCCCCGCACACTGGCTGGCGGCCGGAGGAAAGGCCGTCACCCCATCTCTGGGTGCCTAGTGACCTGGTCAACACCTGCCATGTACACTATTCCTGGCCATGTCCTCTGCCTGGGGGGCACCAACCACTCTTCCTGCCCCACCTCTGACCTCTGGCTCCGGAGGCCCAGTGCAGAGGGCTGGACCCTATGGTTGCCCAGGGCACAGGGTGTGGAACGGGGTGTCCTCCTGGCCCCTCACATCCTGGCCATGCTCCCTGTTTCCTGAAGCTACTTGGACGCAGGAAAAGGCTCTAACCACTGAGGCAGGCTACAAAGGCATAGCCCTGCCCAGACCTGTCCACAGATCCTCCCAGATGGTTCTCGAAGGGAGGAAAGAGGCGGCCTTTCCCCCTTTCTGCCACCAAACCTCTGCTCCTCCATGATCCCCATCCAATTTTATGCCCACTCCAACCTCTGATCTCTGGGTGGCCTCTCCCACCCTTGGACCCAGGTGAGAAGCGGACCTCGGACACCGTCTACTCCAAGCCACGACCCCCATTTCTGCTCAGCTCACTGGCTTCAAATCCGCAGACCTGAGTTTAAGTCCCAGCTCCCCACACACAAGCTGGGTAACCGTGGGCATGATTTAACTTCTCTGAGCCTCAGGCTCCTCAACTGTAAAACGGGAATTGTGCTTTCCTACAGAGTTGCTATCAGGATGACAAAACGCTGCATATATCACTCCAGACCTGACCCCCCACCTGCTGGGGCCCTGCCCATGTCTGGTAGGGAAGAAATGGGATAGTCTGCGTGCTTCTCCAAACCATTGGCCCCTTCCCTGGAGCTGTGCAGTGGTTGTAGCTGAACAAGGCAGGCTCAGGTCCTGCTAGTCAAATCCAGGCACCAGTCAGAACTCTGCCACGTTTTTGCTGTGTGACCTTGGGCAAGTCAGTCAACCTCTCTGAGCCCCCACATCTGTAAATGGGAAAACTGCACAGGTAGCTGCAAGTATAACACATAATGCTCACAAGTCTATGAGGAAGGATTAGGAAACTGAAGTGCAGAGAAGTTAACTTTCCCACTCAGCTAGTAAGCCGTGGGGCTTACTAGCACCTTAGCACTCTGGGCCTGACTTCACATTAAGAGTAGCAAACGTGTATTAGATTATCTGCCATGTGCCAGGATCTATTTAAATGCATCATACACATCACCTCATCTTATCTTCTTTATAGATGAGGAAAAGGAGGCACAGAGAGGTTCAGGAACCTTCTCAACATCACACAGCCAGTGAGCATAGAGTCAGAAACCACACCCAGGTAGCCTGGCTCTGACTTCATGCTTTAGTGGCCACTAGTCACAATAAGCAGAAGATCTGAGTGCAAGGCCTGCAAGCACCGTCCCTGACCCTACAGAAACCTAGGAAGGTCCAAGGTGCTTGTCTCAATGTACAAATGAGGCAGTGACAGGCGCTGGAGGCCACGTGGCCCATAGGTGGCAGGGCTAGCACCTGGACCTCTTGTTTTTGTCCTTCTGCCTCTCCCACTGACTGGGCCCACTGAGGCACGGTACAAAATGGGATAAAATCCTGGGCCCAAATAATGGCCATCCTTGAAGTTGCTTTTCTCCAAAAAAAACCAAACCAAAAACCAAAAAACAGCTTCCTCATGATATAAGCAGAATAGATGATAAGGTGGCTTCTGACACATGCTGCCCTTTACCAAGTGAAGGGTCTTGAGAACCAGGGTCCTACACACCGTGGGCCGGCCGCCCTGGGCTGGGCCCAGCACACGAGTGTGAAGGACCCCATGTTTCCTCTGTCCCGTTTCGCATGCCACCCCCAGAGTGTGTGTGTGTTTTGCATCAGGCAGGGGCTGGCTGCTCTCAGATTTTTGTTCACCAGCCCTGTCCTGAGGAAGAGGGCCTGTTTGTCACACATTCTCAGCCTTAATCAGAGCAGAAAGGACAAAGAGGACCCCTTGGCGTGACCGCACTGATCTCCAGCTGGACCTGGACCAGCTCGTGGCCATATCCCTCCCTTCTCTCTTCCAGGGCTTCTGTTTGTTCCCTAGTCCCCAGGCCCCATCCTGTCTTTCCCAGCTCCAGCGCCCTTTGCAGCTGGAACTCCTGGGGGACTAGAGCACGAGCACACTGGCTGCTCTGAAGCCTCTACTTGCGTCCTTAAAGGAGCTCATGACGCAGGGTCCAGCTCACAGGCCGGGATCTGGACCCTCCCTGAGGAGCTGCGTGTTTGGGAGAGGAGCCAGCAAGCCACCTCACCTCCTGAATCACCCTTGCGTCCAGACCACGAGGCCAGGGCTGTGCTGGGGCTCGGAGACTGACCCAAATAGAAGTCAGGCCCAGGCCAGGGCAGTGGCTTGGGGCTGGTTCCATCTAGCCAGAAGGAAGGTCCCAGAGGGTCTGAATTTGTTCAGTATGTTTTGATGGCCACCTGGGCCCTGGAACCAGGGAGGTTCCCTTTGTGTCTGCTGCTAGACATTTTCGGAGAACTGGAAATAAAGGGCCACTATGGGACCCAGAGAGGAGAAACGGCTGGCCGAGTGAGTGAAATCATCGTGCCGAGGAATAAAAACAAAGAACGATTTCAGTTTTCACAGAGAATCTGGCACCTAACTAAAGAGGACATGGTTGTCCTGGCAACAACTGCCATGGAAACAGGAGCTATTTCAGAGCATCAGGCTGGCTTTCATTGGAGGAAAATGCTGATTCAGGTGACAGCATCCCTCCTCCCATCTCCATCTTCACTGCCCCCAGGCCTCCCTTCCCCCATCCTTTTCAGGGAGGGATGGGGCATCTCCCCCACTGTGAGCAGTGAGGGTATTCCTGGTGCTGCAAGGGTGCCAACACTTGCTGCTCCAGCCTGGGGCCCATGGAAGGGCTGTGACCCTTCTCTGGGGCCAGGCTGGGTGGGTAAGGGGCCAGTCAGCTGTCAGTCCCCCATCTTAGGAGGCTGAGCTGAGACCTACCTTCCAGTCGGTGTCCGTGGCCAAGAGGAAGGTGTCAGAGTTCTCCTAACGGAAGGCAAACAGAGGAGGTGGGGGTTAGGCCCAGGCTGCAGGGGTAGGGGAGTGGGGAAAGGGGGACACAGGGGCTCGACCTTGAGCAGACTCACTCTCCGTTCCCCATTCCATCTTAATGTTAACAAAAGTGACCCAAAGCCTCCCAAGCTCCAAGCATCGGGCTAGTAAGTGCATAACGGATGAACCTATGAGCAGCTACTCACATCAATTTTCTCTACTCATTTAAAATGTGAAGATTTCCCTTTGACAGCAGAGTAGGGTGAGGCTCAGAGAGGCTGAGTCACAGGGCTAGAAAGTGATAAATCTTTGAGTCCAAATCCTTGTTGTTGGTCACTGTCCTGTTCCCCCACAGATGGTTTTCAAGGTCTGACTATCAGGACACACGGACAGAGGCCGGGGAAGGCCATCAGAGTGGGGCATGACTGCCATACCCACTTTAGAGATGGGACAGCGGAGGCCCAGGCAGCGAGGGAGGAACGAGGGGCTGTTCTGGCCTGCACAAAGGAGCTGGCTGGGCCTGCGGAGGCGGTGGCAGCTCTCCCGCCGTTCCAGGCCTGCCTGCTTCGCTTTCTCAGCCCACCAGGCCCCGGTTTTGGGCTCATTTGCTGACCAGCATGAGTCTGTGATTGACACCCATTTCTCCCACTAAATGCAGGCACTATGAGGGCGGGGCCACGTGTGACTCTGCTCTCAGCACAAAGCCTGGCATGGAATGGGCTCCCCAAAGACAAGAAATCTGGATGAACAAGCCTCACTTAGAGAATGAGAGGAACGTGGCTCAGACACACCCACTCTTCACTAGACAGCAGAGATGGAGAGCGGAGGAGTGGAGGCTGAACCTGTGTGTTCAGACACCCTGCGCCCTCTTTGGGTCTGATTTGGGGAAAGAAACCTCATGGGAGATGAGCATAAGCCCAGCCTCCGCTTTGACTCCTACTGTGTCTGTCTAGAAACTTCTCTACTGCCCTCTGCTCAGCTGTGGGCAGGCCACTTGCCTCCCAGCCTCAAGGTCCACAAGGATTAAGCGAGAAGCACAGTGTTCACTGTTATTGCGTCCTTGGGGCTGGGCTGTCCTGCACTGGACTCTGGATGCCACACATGCTCCATAAACTTCTACTGAATAAACAGGTGGATAAATGAGACGATCAGATTAGAACCAGGATGTTCTCAGGATACAGCAATAGAAGGAGATGGCCACTAATGTGCAACAGGAAGGAAGACGGCCCCAAGTCACGGGAGAAGAAAAGGAAAAGAATGAAAACCACCAATTCTGATGTTTTGCTCTCCAAATAAGGAAGGACAAGTTCAACCACCTGCACTTGGCACTTGCGGCGAAGCGGGTGGTAGAGAGAACCAGGTGCACGAAAAGGTCTCACACCCAAAGAGGAAGCCCAGGCTTGGGGGACTGTGACTGTATCAGGATACAGTCACATTGTTACTGGCTGTAACGATGGCTGTCCTCAGACCTCACCTCCTGGTGCCCTGCTGAGGTGAGGGGTGCAAGAGACAGGCCCAGGGCGTGTGCCCTCAGCACCCCCCGTACCAGCAGCAGCATCTCTGTGCAGGCTGCCCTGTAACCCTCACACCTCAGCTCTTGTGATAGGTGCAGGGGTTCCCCTCACAAGAAGGCTGGTGGGGGGGAGGAGGGACTTTTCAGAAAGTTCTGAGAAACTTCTTTCTTCTGAGCTGCATCATAGCCTATAACTTCCACCTGGCCCATCATTACTGAGTGCCTATGATGCTGTGCTAGGAGCTGGGAGGACCCACAGGGTCCATGCTCCGGACGCCTGCAGGGCGCGGCCCGAGTGTGGTGAGTGCTCGGGCACAGAGCATGTTGGGGTGTCATTATTAGACCTGGTGGTCAGAGCAGGCCTCTCTGAGGACGGGGCATTGGAGCAGAGCCTGAATAAAATGAGGGACCAGCCCTGAAAAGTCCTCGGCTAGCGTATCCCAGGCAGAGGGGACAGCTGGGAATATGATCAGCTTGTTCCAGGAAGAGCAATGAGCCAGAGGCAGGAGAGGTGAGCAGGGGAGAGAGTGGAGGGTGGGGTGCAGGTCTCGTCCTGGGCCCCAGGAAGGGCTGTGGCTTTACCTCTCAATGAGATGGCAGCCACGGACCAGCTTTAAGCAGAAGAGTGACATGATGTATTTTCAGAGGGGTGGGCAGAGCAAAGGGGCCAGTGCGGAGGCTCCTGGAAGCATCTGAACAAGAGATGATGGGGGCTTGACCAGGGAGGGAGTGCGATGAAAATAAAGGGTCTGCAAAAGGTACATTTTACAGCTCACCAGCCACCCCTGACCATTCCTGGGGGGTTGCCCTCAGATAATCTGGACTTAGAAGTTAACTCAGGGTTCTGTCTTAAAGATAAGACTGTACCCTTTTGGGGGCAGGGCTGCCGGCCTCATGGGGTTGGGCCCCGGGAGCCCCAGCCAGCTACTCTGTCCCAACACGTGGAGCTCAGTGGCACTTGGGCTCACTTCCTTCCTGGGGGAGGCTGGGGGAGGCTGGGGCAAGGCAGAGACCAGTTCAGGGGCGCGGCTCCTGGCCTCTCCATCTGTAAATTACGGACAGGGGCTGGGAAGCACAGCCAGCAGAGACCCCCAGCTCTGAGGCCCCAGAATTCTATGAGCACTGCTTTTCCTTGGAGGGAGGGAAAAGAAAGGGGTCCAGGTGTCACTGCAACAAGCAAGTGTGGGGTAGAAATAACTGGAATTTAACACCTAGAGCCCCAGTGAGGGCCCTTGGGGACAAAATAACAACCTCAAGTGCCTCTGCCCACTGCTCCTGGAGGCATTGTTGGTGACACTTGCCCTCATATCTCCGAGCTTGTAAGGAAAAGACCGAGAAGCTGCAGACTAGGACTGGGCCCCAGCAGATGGGGAAGCACCATGCCCTGGCTGGAAGCAGCACTGACCAGCGGGGACCCTCTTGGGGTTCAAGGGCCTCCTAGAACAAGGGGTTGAGTCAGACTTCATTCCTGATGGCTGTGTGACCTTGGCCAAGTGAATTGACCTTTCTGTGCCTCGGTTTTTCATCATTGAAATGGGAGTAACTCTCCGAAAAGAGCCTCCCAGCTTCAAAAACAGCCAAAGCCACAGCAAGGTTGGCTGGATGTTAAGCCTGGCCAGGAGCGCTTCCAAGGAAGGGGACCAGGCTTCTCAGGGTGGCCTGTGGGTTCCTGGTGCGTGGCTAGCCCCCTTAAAGGGTCAGTTCAGCACGCCAGGAGGGAAAGCGCGGTTTCTTTCTTGGCCACGAGGGGGCGCCCTTCGCCCCAGGACCGCAACGGGGAGACAGACTCACCAGCTCCGCGGCGTCCTGGCCCCGGAGCAGAGGCTTCTCCTCGGGGAATCGCAGCTCCTGCAGCCCAGCCATGGTCACGTCGTGGAGCAGGAGCCCTGGAGAGGGAGGGCGAGGACGAGGGTTGGGGCCTGATGCGGCGGGGACGTCCGG